TCAAGTAAATTCCGCTCACCTGCAGCACCATCTCCCCTAGCTCTCCGACAACCAGTGAAAGCATTTAGTAACCATGGACCTGGTTCAGGTGCTTCTCCAGAAGCCACGCAGCTGACACACAGTAGTTCTTCACCAGGGCCTCTTGCAGCGCAGAGTTCAGGCTTGCCAAGCCCTGCCAGCAGTATTAACAGTACTACTCTTACCAGACCGGCAGGGACAGCAGGGATGAGGAGTGGCTTGCCCAGACCCAGTGCCCCTTCTGCAGGGGGCATCCCAGTGCCTCGCAGCAAACTTGCACAGCCTATTCGCAGGTGAGTATGTGACAGGCAGTCTTAGCTTGATATTTTCATAATGAATTTTGTACGTTGTGTATTTGTGCTACTCCTTCCTGCAGTTCTTACTTTGATCTCATGGTCTTCAGAATGGAAATGGAGACCGCCGCATGAAGTATTTTCCTGAGCTTCAAAACTATTTTTGAAAAATTAGTTCTCAAAACTGAGTGACAGATTCTTGAATTAGAGGGTGAAAGTAAAATGAATAATAAAAGATACTGAACTAAGTAAATAAAGTGGTTTAATGTGGTCTGAGAAGGCAGTAAGAATTTGCATGTGGTAAAACGTTACAAAATCTAGCTGGCAAGTGAAAATTCATTTGTACCACTGAGTGACACATTCTGAAGTCAGAACTATTTTCCTATTGTAATCTGTAAGTCAGGAAGTGGACCATAGTGAGTTCTTGTATAGGTAGAAACATTACGAAGGAAGACACATGAGGACAGAGATGGCATCCTTAGCATTTGCTAAGCTTAAAAATCAGTGCAATTAACCCACAGGACAAAGCAGAATTTTCAGCTTAAACATAACCTCTGTGCTAGCACCCAGCTGTAAAGTTGCTTAATGTCAGAGTGTTTTGGAGAACAACCACAAAACAGACCAAGTATTAACTGAAAAGGCTACATGGATATGTCCCCTTTCCCAGGATACGTCTTCACAAGAATCAGAAGAAGCGATGCATCATTTAGAGTATGTGCTCTTAATGCCATACTAATGTGGATTTTCACTGGAGGTGTCAAGTGGAAGCCAGCTGACAGAAAGAAGCAGTCACCCCTGAGAAATATCTCCATAAACAGAAAGGATTAACTGTTTGTCTCCAGTATTGTAAAAAGGATAGAACAGCTGTCAGTAGCAAAGTGGAAGAGTTCTGTTCTGCAGTGAATGCTGGGCAGGGGAATGACAAGTGACTGTCACAGTAATGACTGTTTTGCAGCCTGCGTCTGCACTGTCAGCAGTGTGAAACTTTGTGCAACAAAAAGCAGTTGTTTCTGACAGGAAATTCTTAATAGTAGCGAAGTGTGGTTGGCCAAATCACAACTTGTCTATAGACAAGTGCTTCACTTACACAGCTGTTTTTTTCTTTAAGGTTTACATACGTAGGACAAGAGGAAATGGCCTCAAGCTGCGCCAGGGGAGGTTTAGAGTGGTTATTGAGAAAAATTTCTTCACCAAAAGGGGGGGGGGGGCATCAAACATTGGAACAGGCTGCCCAGGGGAGTGGTTGAGTCACCATCCCTGGAGGTATTTAAAGGACAGGTAGATGTGGCACTCAGGGACATGGTTTAGTGGTGGACTTGGCAGTGCTGGGTTAACAGTTGAACTTGGTGATCTTAAAGGTCATCTTTTCCAACCGAAATGTTTCTATAAATGTGTAATGCAGTATCTGTACACACTGCAATAATGAATTATCTGTGCATGTCATGGTTTTGATATAAGCAAAATATAAAACTAAACAAGGATTTCCCTGTTTATACATCATGGCAGGGGTTGGGGGAGAGAGAGAAAAAGCCTATTTTTAAGTGGTGGGAGATTGCTCTGTGAGAATACAAACTTGTAATAGCAAAATGTTTTCTGACTATATATGCAGATGTTTAGCTGACATGGCCGTTGCCAAAATACAACACACAGAACCTGAAACTGAAAATACTTTGGGGTTTATCTTAATCTGTATTGTAGAAAAGCAAACAAATGAAGTGTGACTATTTCAATTACTTAGGAAATGTTTGAATTCTTATGTATTGTGACTTTGGCAGTTATGTATGAAACTGAAAAATATCTCATTTTATTTTAGGTCATTGCCCACTCCGAAAACTTACGGCAACGTGAAAGATGAGAGTTGGAAAGATGGCTGCTACTGAACTGCAAAGCTTAATGCAAAGTTCCAGTGCTCATATATGCCTCCTCACCAGGCTAAAAGACAGCTTGATTATACAAACTGTTCAGATGTGACTTTTGGGATTTGTAAAAATTCCAGACCTCTCTGTCTCTAATTAGCACAATCTGACAGAGATTATAAAGCAGCACTTTAATGACATCTAACATCAGATGTTTGGTGGTCATACAATCACGTCTGCATTACATTGCTATCAGTTCTCGGGTTTTTTTTTCTTGCTTGCTAAAAATGTATCAATATGAGCATTTATGACAGTGGCCAATGTCTGGGCAAAAACCTAATGAATGCCAAAGAAATGCCCATCTTGAAAAACAGCAATGATAACAGTCAACTTACATTGTCTAAAGCTTCATTTTCAGCCTGTTTGAATTCAGCAGGAAGATTCGTGAATATGTACTGTTGAAACAAGACTATGTTAATCAGAGCTAGTATTCTGATTGCAGACTGCTACAGTGCTAGTGAAACATTGCTTTTAACAATTGTATGAGATTCTCTTTGGGGAAAGTGGTACGTATGTCCTCTAGAAAGAATTGGAAGTTAGTCTGGAGGAGTAAGCAGAACAGTTAAGCAGTAGCCATGGCTTTTATTAACATTAAACGTTTGAATGTAGCAGACGCATACAAATGCAATAGTATAGATTGCATCTTTCCTATGTTGATTTATCAGCTTTAAATGCTCTTATACATTCGATTGCCAAAAGGGCTTAGTACCAGTTGTACAATCTTTCTAACCTTAAAGTTCCTGGCTCAGGAAAGATGGCCTTTGCTATTGTAGACACATTTTTAACATATGGCTCACTATTTGGGGAAAACTTTTTCTTATGGCAGGTTTCCATACAAAGGAAAGAGCAAGTAACAATGTTAATTTGTTCTAATACCATACCACTATGCTTGCAGCCTGGAGCAACTGTAAATGCTGATAGTTAAGGAGAAGGAAACACAACTATGCACTTGTAACATACAAATTTTAAGGTAATGAGTTGACTTTTGATGCCAAATGATATTCATTTAGGTGATGTTCCATGGTATGAGGGAGTTTTCTGTATCCTATTTTTTTACTTTCATCCATTTCTTAAATTGGTTTATTTGAAACTGTAAATATTTTTACAGAAGATATTGCCCATGTAAGTGTGTTTAAATATGTACTTTGCCTTACGTGTATCTTACATTACCGGTAAAAGAGTATGAAAACTGCTATGTCTGTTTACAAGCTATTAAATTCCTCTGGTGGCTCTGACTTATTCTAACACATTTTGCTCTGGACAACTTATTCATATATTTAGCGTTTGAACCATTGTTTTCTGTTTTGGAAGACATCATACAAACATTTGTAACTAAAGTTGTATTGGGTGGGACTAGTTAAATGCAAGGGATTTTGTTTGAAGCTTTTTCAGTATTTTGGATGTACAGTCAATGAAGTAAGAGAATGTGAATGGTATATCCTTTGTGCAATGACTGACGAACACTACAAGTTGGATTGGATGGTAGGTAGCCTTCAACCCCATTAGTATCTGAGTTTGGAACTGCTGGTGCGTTTTGACTGCAACCACTCAGAGGAAAACTAACCCTGAAGTTCTAGCACTTGAATTTTAGGCCAGCATTAACATATTCCTGGATGAAAAGCCATGAGATTCTACTTGATTTGGAAGAAGCCAAATAGGAAGGAGTGGAGACTAATTTGCAGCTCTGATTACTCAAGCAAACTTTGGGTTGATGAATGACTTCACACTTCAGACCAAGATCTGTGCTGAGACTGAAGTCGGGGTATCAAATATACTGTAATTCAGTAAGCTTTCAGCAGGGGTACAGAAACTACCTTGCACCAGTAGATCAGTACATACCACTGATCTAGCCTTGTGGCATCCGCTGGCACAGGTGATGGATGTCAGTATCTCATGTCACTGTTAAGCAGAGGAGAGGACTAGATCAAATGCACATGTTCTCACTTGAGCCTGAATTTTAATATTTCAGCATTTTTAGAACGCAGTGCTGCAGTCTTCATTGAAAAAGGTGAATTTTAATGGGAGGATTTTATCAAACACTTGATTGACTTAAATTTGGAAGGTTAGTTTAGATGATGATATTGGGGGGGTTACCATGGCTGCATCAAACTGTTGTGTACGTTTCCTTAAGTTAAGTAATTCATCACTTGGGTAAGTTCAGCTTAAGTTTTCTAAGGGTTCTTTTCTCTGCTGTTCTCCCCTGAAATACAGCAAATGACTTCCTGAAAAGACAGACTGCTTGTTTACTAGAAAGCCTTTGTGCATTACCAGTTTATTTGTATCAGGAAATCACGGGGCTCTGTGTTTAGAGATTTACTGCAGACGTGTGGAAATATGGATTTGATAAACTAGTGCCTATGATTTACTTAACTTATGTTTGATATAGTAGTAAGAGGTTTATGAATGTGGATTACTTTTTGTGCCAACAGCTTGGAATTATTGTATGTGTGTAGGCAGAAGGACTTGTTCTGCTTCCAAAGTTATTTAATTTTTTGTGTTTGAATGTTTTTGTAAGTGTTAAAAGTGTAAAAAAAATATAAATATAAAATATTCTTACCACAAAATATTTCCTGGATCATTATTTTTATAACAAAGTGGTTTTAAAAGCTTTTAGAGCTTTAGAGTTTAATGGTTTAGGGCATTTTGGGTTGGCTGGGTTGGTTTTCAAAAACCATCTTCACTTTTCTAGGAGTACCAACATCAGCTCCTGCCCCCTGTCATTCATGATCCAAGTCCAGTGCTGTACAGGGGTGATGTGTGTCCACTAACAGCCTGAGGTGGGCCTGTTCTGTGCCTCTGCTCTGGAAGGATGAAGTGTAATTCAGAGTTACGTGAAGAACTGAATTCTGAGTGTTCACCTAGAGTGCTTTGTGCAATTCTAAGTGCACAATTTGCCTTCAGTTTTACAGGATTCAAGCTCACTTTGAGCCACCCCAAGAAACAAATACTTTCAAGTACATGTTTCATCTAGCTCATACCTTTTGGCTTGTATAGAAGCAGGAAGTTTGTCTTGAACTTGGTAACTTCCTAGAATCTTCGTTTTGCTGCAAAGCAACGTATCCAGTAGTAATGTGAATGCCATCTTTTTCTTATCTTGGTACTAATAAAACAGGCTGATTTCTGTTTGGTGGCCACTTAATATTAAATCTATTTAACAAAATTTAAGGTGGGAGGCTTGCTATTAATTATCTCAGCACTGTCCCTGTGTTGTAGTTCAGTCAGTAGATAAAAATGCTTCCCCCTAATTAGCTGACCTACTTAATGTAGAGCTGCAATTTACAGCAGCACCTGCTGCTTCTAAACTGTGATCCACTACCCTTCCCCTCATTGCTTTTTAGTTCTGCAGTCAAGTACTGATTGCCTCACATCCCTTCAGGAAAACGGCAGTGTCAAAATCTCAGGCAATCAACAGCCTTCTGCGCTTCCCTTGCAGTAGGTTGCTGTAACAAACTCTTCCATATTAAACTATTCCTTGTAATTAGCATCATGGTATTGCAAGACTCAAGATAGAAAATACTGGTTTTGCAGTCTCTTACTCTGAGTGAAGGTCTGACAGCTCCTCCGGGTTTGTTGTAGAAGCACTAGGTCATGTTTTATGCCATAGGGTGTTACCCTCTAAGAGTCTGATGGCAATAGCAAAGAAAAATAAGTGATGAGCGTTTAAGGAAGCAGAAGGTTGAAACTGCTTTTACTGTACACAGATTTGGTCGTTTAAAACTTACTTGTAGTAAGTTTTCTTTCTGAGAAAGAAAAACACCTGTGGGACAAGACTATGACTGGGATGCGTCTTTAGTTCTCCCTCTTCTAATCTTTGAGAACAGCAGTAAATGAGATTTTCCAATCTTTACTTTCTCAGCAAAACATGTGTGATGTGAGGTTGCTTTGATTCAAAAAACAAAGCCAAACGCCCACCTGCTCTTGACTTGGTTCGTGTGCTTTCTGTAGTGCAGGGCTGACACCTGCAGGCAGTCCCTCTGTGTCTCTTGGCTCAGGAACATGTGGCTGGGATTTGGGCGCACTCTGAAGCATCTATCCATCCATGGTGTACCCAGAACGTCCCAATAAAGAAGCTGCTCTCTGCTCCAAGAACTGGAGACCTGAAGGGAGCAGATACCGTGTCTCACACAGTTGTACTGTGCATCACTGCCCTCTTTACACCAAATGATATACTCTGTGGTGACTACATAAACATCTTGCAGCACACAAAACATAGAATCATAGACTACTAGGGTTGGAAAGGACCTTAAGATCATCTAGTTCCAACCCATCTGCCATAGGCATAACTGTAATAACTGAAACTAACCTGCAGATCTTCAGCAGGATTTAAAGGAACAGGTAGCTAAAACGATTCCTTACCAGCAAAGTGATGTTTCAGCTCGGTGCATCACCCATGCCTGTTGCAAACAGTAACTTAAAAACAACCAAAAGAAACCACAATTAAAAAAAAACAATTTAAACTCTTAGCTTTAAAACCTGGAAAGCCTGAGGGTCTCTATGCTGTGTGGCACTCACACGAGAGAAAGGTGGACTCTACCTGTCTCAAACAAAAGAAGATACTTCTGTTGTAAGCTGAGCTCCTATCAGCATAAACACCGGTAATCCTGTAAATGCATTCTCTTTTGGAAAATGAGATAAAGTTTAAAAGACACTGGCATGTGGTGCCCTCTTTTCCAGAGTGCTCAGCCCTCCCTGCTGCTTTTAAATTACCCCTAGAAGCTGTTGGCAGCTCCAGCAAGTGTGATTCAAAAAATGAGCGCATCGGGATGAGTGGTGTGTGCCATACTGAGCAGGTGATGCTGTTGTCCATCCCCAGCATCACGCAGCTTTTGGTTATCATGCACAACATAAACTATGAATTGTTCTATTCTGTCCTTTTCCATTCTCTTTTCCATGGTTTTCTTGGGACTGTAGCCAAAATGGCAACTTTTCACAGCCCTGCCATGAGAGGCTGTTTAATCAACCCTGCTAGTACCAACAACCTGACCTGATGTCAGAGGAACTACTCTCTGCACCCAGCACCCGGTCTCAAGCCTGACAACAGCTTCCTCCACGTTCCTGCAGCAACAAGGCTGTGAGAAGAGCAGGGTGAACACCAGCCACTCTGGCCCGCGCAGCTGCAGTTTAGGGGACACTTGGGCTAATACATTTTTCATGCTTTCTTACAGCTTATGTCTGCCCATAAAACTGAAATGAATGGAATCCATTCACATGTGAATAGTAACTCATTTCTGAGAACACCGGCATTTCTTGGTCTGGTATTTGGTGAAATTAGTCAAGTAGTATATTTCTCTGTTGTATTCTACATAAGCTTGGGAGATTTTGCATTCAAAGAAAGCATACATACAGCAATTAAACTAGTTTCTGTCTGTAAGAAGGGCAGTTAATGTCTTCCAAAATGGTCCATGTTAGGGCTCTATATAGTAACAGGAAGGTGAATAGAGACACTTGTGTTCTACATTGTTCCCCGCCTGCACCCTGTCCAAGAGAAAAAGATGCTTACTAACATGGAAGTAGGTATCAATGACACGGCTTGGGACTCTGCATGGCCTTACTGCTTAAAGCCAAGTAGGTGAACAAAAACACCTGGATGGTGTTGGAAGCTGGTGGTGGAAGCATGGATGGACACAGGACTTTCCTCAGCCTCCTGCTCACCACTGCACTCTAACTCCTAGCACTCCCCTATCTTTGTCTCAAGCCAGCTGCCTATGATTTTTGTTTTCCTAGAGCCATTATCAGCAAACAAATCTGTGCAACCCATTACAAAGGCTTCGTTACCTGACTGATCTTTACCTCCCTTTCACTCAGCAGGTTCATATTGCTGTATCAATCATTTCACAGTGCTCCTGCTCTCTCACATCCAAAATGCCGATGTGAGAAAATGATGCTGAACCAAGTTCTGGATTACAAGGAATGTGGTTTGCATCCTGTCTGGGGCTGAGGGAAAGGCCAGCTGCACTGCTGGCTGAGTGAGCCTGGTACATACTGAGTTAAAGGACCACTACATAATCCTTCTTCTCCAAGCAGACCTATTTGTCTTAATGAAGGTCAGCAGGACAAGAGTATCTTATGCCACCTTAAATATATCTTCACCTCTCTCCTCCTTTAGAAATGATATTTTATTGAAGCACATGCTGCCATCTGGGGTCCCCTCTCAAGGAAAAGAGGAGTGAGGGGAAGGAGATCAGGCAAAACCTCTGCTTTTCATGCTCTGCCTCAGACCTTGTCTTAAACTTGCATCTCTCAGCTCTAAGGTGGTCCATTTATTCCCACAGTTACTCACCCAACCCTGAGCCCAGAGCAGTGTTACATTGTTTCTGTTCATCCATTCCCCACTGGCCTAATGGAACACATAAAACCACCTTAATGCTGCTTCAACTGACCTGACTTCAAAGGACTTATGAAAGCCTTGGCCTAATTCTTGTCCTTTTAAAGCCAGCCCTGTCTGATGTCAGCCCCGAGCTGTCACTCAGCCCCTGGAGCACAGCCCCGAGCAGGCCTCTCCATCTATGCCCAGCCTTACTGGTAGGTACTGGCAGGTCCTGAGCTACACAACACCCCTGCCTGCACACACTGCACAGGCAGCATGGGCCTGGCCACTGCCCTGAAGCTGAGGGTGCAGATGCATAGCCAACAGCAGCCATTGCTAACTGAATCAGAGAACTGAATCATAGAATGAATCATAGAATAGTTAGGGTTGGAAAGGACCTTAAGATCATCCAGGTCCAACCCCCCTGCCATAGGCAGGGACACCTCACACTAAACCATGCCAGCCAAGGCTCTGTCCAACCTGGCCTTGAACACTGCCAGGGATGGAGCATTCACACTTCCTTGGGCAACCCATTCCAGTGCCTCACCACCCTCGCAGTAAAGAACTTCTTCCTTACATCTGACCTGAGTCTTCCCTATTTAACTTTGAACCCATTACCCCTTGTCCTATCACAGCATGTACCTCTCCTCCCAGGTTGCTGGTGCAGAGCTCATGCTGTTGATTTGGTTCATGCGGCCCTCCTGAATGCCTGTGGAAACAAAAAAAATGTCCTCATGGCACCAGACTGGACTACAGGAGACCCACACAGTCAGTTCTGCTCTGCCACACACATTTCAAGGAGGACTCATTTATTTTCTTGAGGCTCTCTTCATCATCACTGAAATAACCACCAGTCTTCATAACTCATGTGCTGGGAGCCAGGGGCAGATGTATGACTACTTAAAGGGTTGGCCAGTCAGTTCATATTTTGTCTGATACAGTGGGGTAAGTTAAGAACAGGAATTGGGTTGACCTTGGTTTATCAGCCCAAATGTCAGAGAGCACATAATGTCTATTGTAAATGTCACAGGGATTTTTCTTTTCCTTTAAAAAAAAAAAAAAAAGGAAAAACCGAGGGATTTAGTGACTGTAGTTATGCAGCCATTCACAGGGGCTCAGCTCCACTGAGTGCAAATGGTATTGCCTAGGTACACAGACACACTGTGTCTGGGAATACTGAAAGGGACTTCTTAAAGGCATGGCTCCGGTAAAGCATGGGGGAGACCAGTGCAGCCCTCGCCTTCAGCAGCAAAGCAGCTTTCACTAACACCAGGCTCTGCCAAGCCTTCCTCCTGAGCACAACACAGGGATTTAATCAATAGCTGGTGAGCTTCTCACCTTTATCTCCACAGGGAAATAAGCCCAGAGCAGTGGAATACAGCACCCTGTGGGCATGTGCACCCCGCCAGCCACCAGCGCAGCCTTCCTGACCTGTCTGTCATAGAAGAAATGGAAAAGTCCTTTTCCAAAACCACTCCGAGGCTTGCTACTGCTCAGTAGGCTCTACTGGTTTCTAACCCTTATCTTCCCACCCTGACTGATGTGGCACACCAGCTTAGGGTTCCTTCCCTGGGCCGAGGACTCATTGGTAGAACTGAAGGATGAACTGGGTGACGGAACACTGGAACAGGCTGCCCAGGGAGGTTGTGGAGTCTCCTTTCCTGGAGACATTCAAAACCCGCCTGGACACATTCCTGTGTAACACTATCTAGGTGTTCCTGCTCCGGCAGGGGGATTGGACTAGATGATCTTTCGAGGTCCCTTCCAATCTCTAGCATACTGTGATAGTGTGATGAAAAGGAAGTGGCTCTCATTACAGGGCTCAAACCACATACCCTCTGCAGGGCCTTGGCTCAGCCCATCTCCCCTGCTCCTTGCCCAGGCCATGCTTCTGTGCTGCCCTCCTCTCCAAAGTCTCTTCAATAGAGGATCCTTTCTGTCAGTGTGTTCCCACTTCCTGCATCCTCCTCATTATGAAAAGAATTAACTAACGTTAATTAGCAAAGCAAATCACTGAAATCTGCCTACCAGGAACCTCATTTCAAGATTCAGAACAACAGGTAGGTTACATTTATATCCCATTTATGCACTCTTTTTAGCCCTTCTATTTTACTGTCTTTTGTGCCTTTTTTACCTGAAGAATGCTCCTGGGTTTCCCGGTTTTGCTCTGTTCGCCTCTTTCCCAGACACTAGGGGGACGTCTTGCTTTCTCTGCACTGACCCAGTCTGAAGTTTGCTCTAGTTCAGCTTCAATTCACCACACCACTCTGAACTTACACGAAACTGCCCATAAGGTCCTGAATGAATTTAACAGCTACACTTCGGGACGGAAAGCCTCAGCCAGAGGGAAGCCCAAGCCATGCCCAGCTGGCCATAAAAACCACCTCCCGTACAGGTACGTGTCTTTATCTGAAAGAGAAAATTCAGCTCATTTTTCTTGTACATCACCTTTCATCCTTAGGGACGCGCAGGGTGCACCCGGGTTAGCAGTGACTGCTCCAATGCCAGCTTTGATATTTCAATCTTGTTGCCTAGATTTTCAGAGTCTGAAATACCTGTTGGACTTTTTACTCAGGGTCAGATGGACTTAAACCCCCTGAAATGTTTCAGACTGCAGAAATAGTGGGGCTTTCCATCTGTATGTGTAGCACCACCTTAGAACTGCAGGATGTGAAAAGGCTTGTATTGACCTCCCCACAGCTGGTGTGGATTACATAAGACACACGCCCCTCTCTTCTCTCCACAGCAGGTCCACCTGCAGTTAACACAGCACTCAAGCACAACCGACCCCCAGAGCAGCTCCTCTGAACAACCTAGTGGAGCAATGAGTCACCAACTCCCACCGGCACGATGGGGTTGGAGCCTGTGTTGCAAAGGGACTGCTTCAGCTCTGGGGCAACAGCAGCAACTGCAAATGATGCTGTTACCACTCTGCAATGGGGAGGATGCGCCGGTCTCCTTTTCTGCAGAGCCTGGCTTCTCGGGGCTTCCAGATTTGGGCATCTGATCCAAGAAATTCCCTGGGGAGAGCTCAGCTGCAACCTGCTTTTTCACACAAATGACAGTGTTATTTGCATTTGGTATATTACTGCTTAGTACATTGGTTGCCCAACTGCTGTTACTGTTTGTTATGACCTTAAAATACAATTTTTGGTTACTTAAGGTCTAAAATCTGCCCCTTAGTTTTTGGATAATATCTTTCATTATCCAGTAAAGGTTGAGATTGTTGCCAAAAATCTCTTGAATTTGAAAAGGACAGGGATGAGAATGGTGAATGCCAGCATGCTGCAGCGAACAGCCATAAGCTGCGAGGCAGCCTCGCTACCTGAAGTGACAAAAGTGCTTGGACATGTTTGCTGTGCCACTGAATCAAAGGGTTTAAAGAAGTCTGTGCAGTGAAATCCCTGTGCTTGGTTATTGCTGCTTGTTGGAGGAGCGCAGCAAGTCATCCTACTGCGGAGCCCCTCTGGGAGTGGGATGCACACACTGTGTCTGTAGAGACTGCAGGTGGCTGCTCTTGGCTTGTGGCACGTCCTATGGAGGGTGTCAGCAATACTCCGTCAAGAAACTACAAGTGAAAATGGACTCTGTGGATGTTTAGCAGTTGTCAGGCAGAGATTTCCTTTGTGACAAAGGGATAACTCCTTGGGAGTAAGGTACCTGCTGGAGCTCAATGCACTTGTCTCCAGTGTGCAGCTTTGCCACTACTTACATTGAGCAAACAAATTCATTTCAGTGTATTACTGCTGGCTTTGTTTGGGCTTCTTGGCAGCGGTTTGAAACAATTTGCTTTGTGAGGAGTTGTTTCTGTACCAACACCAGATGGGAAGTGGTAACTCCACTATCTCCCTGTCCATCCCCAACCCCTGTCCTGCCCGGGGCCCCTTGCCTGGAAGGGCTTTGGGCAGGATTTGTTTGGCTGGACTTCCCTTCTGGGCCTGGGATCACTGCAGGGTACTGCTCACACCTGGGTGGGAATGCTGAGCACTGATACCTTACACACCTCTTTGGGTAGCTCCTCTTACGGTCCCAGCATTGACTCCAGCAGCAAGACTCTCCTACTGATACTCAGCATTTAGGCTGCCCATGTATATACGGGTAAAACATATGTTTCAAGTATTTTATTTAGAAATTGTATGTAAGAAAAAACATATTTAATAATTGTTATATATTTAATACATTAAAATAAATTTAATAATATTCCTAATATTTTGCTTTCTGACATTAGCATGGACTGAGCAGGGGTCAGGAGCTCTTAAAGGGGCCATTTTGTACATGTTTATGCTGATATTTTGGTTTTCTTTAATTCCTTCACCTGAAATAAAGGGCTGATGGCTTTTTATTCCTCCCTCTGACTACCCAATCTTAAACAGCTCTGCTCAAAGCCCATTATCTGGCAGGCACCATGCAAGACGCTGCCAGCTTAATAAACCCTGCAGGCAGTTCAGGCCACAGACTTTAGCTCTGAGCTATGGACCCCGCTTGCCATTTCCAGCATGGCCAGGTCCCTGTGCTCCCTGTCGTGTTGCCAGTACCTACGGCCACAAGCGCAGTTACATCACAGAGAGATGTGAGGTCTTAAACCCATGTATGTAATCTCTGTGGACTTGTGAGGCTATTATACACAGCCTACTTTCAACTAGTGGTAAAGTGAACACCTCAGGCAGGACGAAATACTCTCTGGGGTTCATACCCAGCATTTCTGCTTATGTACTCCAGGAAGGAGCTCAAAGATTGTGCTGTCATTCACACTTTCATCTTGGTGGCAAACCAACACGTACATAAAACCCAGAGAACACCCTCCTCAGCTGCAGCCACACACAGGTTCTACTGATACTATAGGTCCAAAATTCAGAAGACTCTTTAGGTTATTAAAAGTGTCCTACTTTATCACGGTTTTCAAAGTGCACATAGCACAATGTGTCGAGGCTACTTTCATGGGATTAATATACAACGTCATACAAGACAAGCATTAAGAGATTCTATTATGTTTGAGGTTTATTTCTTCCCATTTGCCTGACACCTTGAGATTTAATATGGGTAAGAGTGCACCTACTTTGACGGGCTTGCTTATTTGTTGATCAGGATTACTGATACTCATTTTTATTACTTGGTAAGTATTTGGCAGCAGACAAGAAGCATTTTCATTCTCTGTTTATACAGTTTCTAACATAAAACAGTCTTAGCCCACATCCAGGCACCTTTGATGCAGCAATACAAATGACAGCTGAATGCAAAGATTTTTTGTGTGTAACCTGAGATAGAATATTGATGCTGTTAACTCTCATCTTTCCCATGGGGCTCACCATTAACATTCCTTTTAATATGGAGAAAGCTTTGGTGGGAGAGGGATGTAATTTGTCTTTGGGGTGTCTTCCTTCAATTAAATGAATACTCTGTGAAGCAACTGCTGCTGTAGGTATTATTAGATTTACTCGTGCATTCTCAACATGTCAATTATTCTGTGGGACAATACACTCCTTGTGTCATTTACTCTGATCTGGCGCTTTTCTGCAACCCCCTAAATACAGATTTTACAAGGCACAAAACCACATTTGTGTGATCTACTTCCATATTACCTCCCTTGAATTATGTTCCTACCCCTGACCAGGTTCCTGCACAGGAAATTAAGAGTGGGCTGTGAGCCTCAATAGACAGTGAAAGCCAATAAGCCCAGCTGGATCCAGGCCTGCAACTGCACATTCACCCTAGAGCCTCACCATTTACCAGGCTGTGCACACCCTATTTTCAGTGTGCTCTTTGCCCTCGACGCCACCACTGTACCCTCACAGCCACTGGGGTCCCCCTGCACCTCCCCTGCTCCCTCAGATGCTGAACAGGCTGCATGTAAATCAGGGCCGCAGCACCCAAGATGTGCCTGTATCTGCAGGATGGCTGAGCCCCTCTGCCCATGCAGAGTGAGACCCATGCCTACGGTGCAGAATACCATTTGGCTTTTAAAACTGAATCCAGGGCCTTCAGAGGCAGCCCCATCTCACCTCCTGTCCCTGCCTGGCTGGACAAGATGCTAATTTTGGCTCTTTTGGACCAAGGCATGCATTAGTCATCAGGTCATTTATTTTATTATGACTTTCACCTTAATCCTGATAATACTCCAACTCCAGAAAAAGATTAAATAGCAACAAAAGGGAACAGGGAAGCAGAATTCTTTCTTATTTTGAGTAAAGGTATCTCACATAAAGGCACTTAATTGCTTAAAGGAAAAAATGGTACTAGTAATTGGTTTACAGTTGTAGGGTAAAACAGCCTCAACAACTGACTCCCAGCCATCAATTTACAAAATCATTCCTCAGCGATCCCCTGATTTTGTCTCCTTTCATGGACCAGAAGCTTTTTTCTAATGTGATGGCTGGCAAAAGATCCCTTCAGCTCGTTTTTAAAGGCAGATCACGCAGCCTTAAGCACTTAATTCTAATTATGAATTACTGGAACATTGCAACCCAAGTCATCATGCACTTACTTGCTGATTAATGGTCTCCAGGCATCTTAAAAATAAACAGGGGGAGACACCACGTATGACAAGGAGGGTTTTATCATGATAATTTCTGCCCTTGACTTCTAACCCAGGGCTCCAGTGAAAAGATCCATCCCCAGGTGCCCAGATAGTCTGAGCAGATAGCGGGGAAACAAAAGAGGCTTGTGTCGTTCCCCTTCCACACCACTTCTATTTAATAGAATCTCAGAGACTATGAGTTGCAGGGCACTGCTCCCAAGTGAGGTGTAAACATGGAAGAGCTGGACTGAAACAGACATCATTTGAAAAAGGAATCGGAGGGAGAAGGGGACAGGACTCGCAGGAATGGAGAAATCACAAACGCACAGGGAAGAAGCGAAGCAGATACAGTGCAGTGGAGGAGGGAGGAGGAGGAGGAGGAGGGTGCCTGGATGCCTTTGCCACCTGGGTCAAGGGGAAGAGAAGGATGATTTGGTGGGATCCCACCTGTAGAGGAGACAACAGGGACTTGGTGATGACTCCCACTGAGGAGGGGAGGGAGGGACACATATCTGATTTTCCTCACCCTGAAATTCAAACCCTGGGTCTGGTCAAGGACCAGATAAAAGGGATAAAAGACACTGATTATTGTGCAGATTTACTGTGCAGCACCAAGCCATGGCACTCTGCTAAGGACAAAGGAGATTTTAAGAAAAGCAAGCTTTGGATAAGGCATGATGGGCTGCAATGGGGCCAGGTGTCATGCTGAAGGGTAGCAGAGAAGCCCGGGAGGCAGGGAAGGCAGGTCTGTCCCAGGCCTTCTGCACTATAGACTGCTACAGGAACAATGAACTAACAGGAAACCTGTGGCTCCTGTGTGTTCTCCACCTACATGGTCCAACTGCACTCCGCCTTTGTGTGAAACACAAAGTGGGCAGGGGAAGGAGCAATGTTGACTGATCAGCACATCCTCACCAAAGCAGTTTCTGTCTGTCTGGCTGGGAAGGTTTTTAGGAACAACTCAACTGCAGAGATCTCAGTGCTTCATCTGATTTTAAAAATGTGTTTTCTCACCTGTTTGGTGAACCAGCTCCTAAACAATACAAAATTAAACAGAAAATAGCCATGAACTTGCTAGGATCTCGCAGTCGCTGGTTCAGTGGAGCTGAGTGACAAAAGCTGCAGAGTCCCCTCTGTGCTGCTGCTCTTAAGAGCAGGTGCTGGAGACAGGTATCAAAGGGACCTACTTCAGCACAAGACCAGCTGACACATCCTTCCGAGCACAAAGACAACCGTGGAAGAACAACCAAAATCACCTCTGCACAACTGTGCTCCAATTCCTAACTCTCCTAAGCCACAAAAATAACCACTCTGGATCTAAGTTATAACAAGAACAAGAAGATGCATTTCATGGAGTTTACCACAAGTTCACCCTAAACCGTGGGTGTATTGTGTGAAATTAAGGAGTATTTTAAGCCAAGTCAATGACAGCAAAGACTTTCTCTTTTTCCATTGAAAATGATTCCTGTGCTATTAAACCTTAAATTTCCTTTTAATTTTTATCTATAACCTAGGTGCACAGCAAGTAGATTAGAAATGAAGGGATTGTACATCCCCTGAAAATCAGAAACTACTTCTGACAGGTCTCACGTAAACATCACTTTCATGGCAGCATTTTGCCCCAGCCTATTTAAGCACCACTACTTAAAGGGCTGACTGAAAGCCTTCCATCCTCCAGGACTATCTTCCGGAGGAATCTCTTCCTCTGCAAACGCCCGGCACAGCTCCACAAATCATGTGGCACAGACACACAGAGAGGCAAAGCATGACTTATGGGTGGGTGACGCCATCCCACAGCAGCTGAGCTCGGCTGCTTCCTGCAGACCCAGGCATGGACACAACGAGGCAGGGTGGGAGGAGCGGGGAGCTGAAATGGATACCGAGCTGAAATGGGAAGAGTGGAAAAAGAGGGGTGACCACACTTTGCTCTGTCAGCCCACCCCACTGTCCTGCTTTTACATAGTGCTCATAACCACAGCATACACACACATGATGCGCAACACAGTCAGGATGTAGGCTTTCAAGTCCTAGACTGGGATTTATCCCTTACTTGCTTGGGATGGGCAAACCAGCTCTTCTCACCTGAGGCTCCTGAGCATGAGGAACCAACAAGTATAATGGCTGCACACCCCTTGCTGCCCCAAACTGAGAACACCCACAGTGACTTACCCTGGGGGACACCAAGGGAACTTCATTGCAGATATGCAATGCCCACAATTTTGCAATAATCCTGGGCTATGCCAGATGCTTTCCATCTCTGGCAGGAGAAGCAAGTGATTCAGATACCACCTCCAGCGTGGTTGAGCAGCCAGTCACTAGCCAAATGAACTGCAAGGTCACTTTGCTCATTTCTTACAGCACTAGCAAAAGTCCTTGCAAGCCCATCCTCTATTTTTCACCAATTCAATAAAGGGAAGGCACAAAACATCCTGTTATAAAATAGTAAACAAAATCCCTAGTGTTTAAAGGACTTTTGTTGCTCCAGACCAGTCTACAGCACAGGAGGTGCTCTCCTATGGAAATCAAACCCCTCCTAAGAATAATGTAAGGCAGTATTACTTATAAAAGTTACAAACTACAACAAGCTTATATTTCAGTGAGTCCTCCCTCTCCTTGCTATTGCTATCTCTTATGCTCATTTTTCAACAGAGGGACTAACAAGGAATAATTTGAGAATCATACACGATTGGCCTTATTTGTCTTTTTATACTCAGTCTGTTGCTTCCAGTAATAGCAGGGCAGGCAGTATGCTTTCTCCTGCCCTCCACAAAAGGAACTGGCTATTGATTTAGAAACATCATGGAGTGCACTATGCGTGAGCCAGCTGCCTCACAGCAAAACTATTGAGCATCACTCCAGGCTCCAGCCTGTACTTTATGATGACATACTGGGGAAGCCTGCAGTGAGTTAAAGAGACAAGAACCATGTTCAGCAGCAGGTAAGTTTTTTCACTGTACTTGCTGGATGTGGAAATACGCTTGGTGCCATATGGGTGATAGTGCTTGTTCATCCAGGGTTCAGACTTGGCTCTCCCTGAAGTCAGCAGTACTTCTCTTGTTTAAACCAAGAGCCGGGTTTGAATTTCAGCTGATACATTTTAAGGAAAGCCTCGAGAGGTCTTGATGTGTTACGATGCATTCACAATATATTCCTACTGCAATTCAGTGTCCTTGAAACGCAGGTTTACCATGACTGGGTGGGCTCTGGAAGAGGATGCGTCTGCTCCATTGGCATCTAGCTTCACTAAACTCCTATAATTGCCTGTATGATATATGTCATACGTTGTGACACAAAAGCATCTTCCCACAACCAGCCCTACTCCAGCAGGGAGTCTGGGGTGTGGCACTCAGACATAAAGCAGGAGGTCTGGCCTGTGCCCTTCACACCTGCTCGATAAGCAGCTGTCTCCTGCTCTGCCCAACTGACCCAGCCTGGTCTTGCCCAAGATCAGCCTGGCTTGCCCATGAGACAGGGAAACCGCACCGGCATGACTTACAAACCAGGGAGGGCTTGATAAGCAAATGACCTGCACATTGTGAAGCCAGCTATTGGCTACATGAAGGATGGCATAAGATACAGCAGCGGTAAGACTTTAAGAAGCACAATAAATACACTGCAAGCACTTCTCTGCATACGCAGACCTGAAAATTAAGCTCAGAGGATGGTTCTTGGCCCAGCAAGTTGACCAGACCCTGCACTCCCCTCCTCCAGCAGCACACAGCCCCAGAATACGAACGAACTACAGCAATCTGCCTCCTATTTGGTTTTATTTGTTGCCGGGAGGGTGAAGGAGCTCGGCTGAGGGTCCCCGGTGCTGCCCACCTACCTCTGGTGACACTGCGACACCGACTGCCATTTGACGCTGAAGCGAACCCCCGGTACCGCAGTACGAAGAGAAGCCGCGACCCCCGGGGGGGGTGTGCAGGCGGCGGGGCCGGCTCCAGACACCGCCCCGAGGGTGGCACCGTGGAGCGGGGTCCAGCCCTGACCCGCCGCTGCGGCTGTGGGTCCGGTCCGGGCGGAGCTGTCGGGGGCGCAGCTCGCCGTCGGGGCGGTACCGAGTCACCGCCCACCGCCGGGTGGCCCCGCGCGGTCCCGGGTGCGCGCGGGCGGTGCCCGGAGCAGACAGCCGGCGTGCGGCGACGGACGGTGGCGGCAGCGCTCGGGAGCGCCCGGTTGGGATGCGGTCCCCGCTCTGACGGCCCCGCCGCCGCCCGCTCCCTCCTCGGGGCCCGGCCCAGCGGAGCCGGCGGCTCCCGGGGGCCGCGCAGCCCATGGCAGGCTCCGCGCAGCCCCCGACGGCGGCGGGGGACGGCGGCCTCGACGGCGGGTCGCTGGCGGGGGGCGGCGGGGCTTTCGCGGACCGCTCCCTCAGCCAGGGCTTGAGCGTGCTGGTGGGGCTGGCGCTCTGCGTGACCATGCTGGGGTTGGGCTGCGCCGTGGAGCTGGGGCAGCTGGGGCATCAGCTGCGGCGGCCCGTGGGGTTGCTGCTGGCGCTGCTGGGGCAGTTCGTGGCCATGCCGCTGCTGGCCTTTCTCCTCGCCCTCATCTTCGCCCTGGATGAAGTAGCGGCCGTAGCTGTGCTGCTGTGCGGCTGCTGTCCCGGGGGCAACCTCTCCAACCTCATGTCGGTGCTCGTCGACGGGGACATGAACCTCAGGTAGGCGCCCCGCTCTCCCTCGCTTGTAGCCGGACGGAGGGCTGCGGCGACCACGGGGCGCGGGCAGGGTTTGCGGGGCACCTGCCGGCGGAGGCGCCGGGACGGACGGGCACGGCGCGGCTGGAAACCCGCTCTCCTGCTTTTATCGGGGAGGACGGACCTTATGGACCCCGACACGCGCTTCTTACCCCCTTCCCTAAGAAGCCTGCCTGCCCGATCCTGGCCGGGGCAGGGAAGGGGGGGCTCTTGCCGTGAGAAGCGACCCCGCCGGCTGCAGAGTCCCCTTTACGTGGGAGCCGCCTCCCGGTCGGGCGCGCAGTGATACCGTGTCTCTTTGGTCCCCCGGTGCAGCATTATCATGACGGCCTCCTCCACGCTCCTGGCTCTCTTCCTGATGCCCCTCTGCCTCTGGATCTACAGCCGCCCCTGGATCAATACGGCCGTGGTGCAGCTGCTGCCCCTGGGCGCGGTGAGCCTCACGCTAGGCAGCACCCTCCTGCCCATCGGCCTGGGGGTGCTCATCCGGTACCGCTACCCCCGCGCTGCCGACCTCCTGGTTAAGGTAGGCACGGGGCGCTGGGAGAGGGGGGGTGTCCTATGGCAGTGACCTTTCTGGTCCCTCTGAACCGATAGATAGGCATATTCCACTACTTAGGTGGGATATAAGGATTGACAGTCTTGAAATAAAACGGCGGGACAGAGACAGAAGGGGTGGGAAGGGGCAGGTTATCCATCCCCTGGGGCCCAGGGGGCAGCCCAGTCCTGGAGCAGAGGCATTCCCTACATCCTACTCTCTCTCAGCTCCCGCTGCACCCAGAGCTAGGGAAACTAACCCACAGGCACGGCGATACTTCCTCAAATACACAACCAATTTTAGCTTAATCACAAAAGGAGAAGCAAAGCACAAGCCCTGCTCCCCCAGCAAGTCATTCCAAAGCAGAATGATGGAGGGCAAGCTCAGCCCCTTCCTTCCCTGAGATATGATCAACCACCACCAAAGTCCTGAGGCAGGAGCAAAGCTGGAAATCCAATACAACCACGTTTTGCAGTTTAGACTCTCTATCAAGCTTCTACCTGCTCTGCTTATCCTTTTAAACCAATAACCCCCATGTTGTTTATCAATGTATCTATTGCCAGATTTCCCTGTGGTCCCTCTTGGTGACTCTGGTGATCCTGTTCATCCTGACTGGGACAATGCTGGGCCCAGATCTGATGGCACATATTCCTGCGTCTGTCTACGCCATTGCGGTGCTGATGCCCCTAGCGGGGTACGCCTTGGGATACGGCTTAGCCACGGTCTTTAAAATGCCCCCACACTGCAGGAGAACAGTGTCGTTGGAAACGGGGTGCCAAAATGTCCAGCTCTGCACCGCCATCCTCAAACTCACCTTTCCCCCAGAGCTCATCGGGAGCATGTACATGTTTCCCTTGCTTTATGCGCTTTTTCAGTCGGCAGAAGCGGGACTCTTTGTGCTGGTATACAAGATGTATGGGAGAGACAGCTACAAACAAGATACGCTCGATGAGGAGGAAGATACAGATATATCCTACAAGAAACTGAAGGAAGAGGAAGTTCCTGATACTTCATATGGCACAGTGACCACGGAGGAGCACAACTCCATTCAAATGAAGCCAACGCAGACAGCGCTTTAGGGAAGAAAAGGAGGTGACACCTGCGGGGGGGGGGGGACGGGACGGGGACATGTGATGTGTGTTGTGCTTGCAGCCAGGCTGGGGCTGCGCTCGCCACTGTGCAAGCTGAGCTGCCCCACCTCCATCGTTTCTCCAGCCGCTCCCATTGTACAAGGTGTTGTGTGTTTATTACCATGGCAGTCATGTTTCCTCAAATATAGCTATGGATAAAATTAAAAAGCAAAGGAAAAAGTATCACTGTGATGATGCGAATCAGTCTTAGCGCGAGGAGGTTCTTGCCCATTGGAGTGCAGCACGAATGGGTATGAAAAAGGAGACGGGTGTTTGGCAGAAGTGAAGCCAACACGGCACCAGCATAGATGAACAGACAAAACCACCCTGTGTGCGTGTATGTTCGTGCCTCTCACCCGCTGTAACAGCACTGTGCTCGTTGTTCCGCCGCAAATACATGGCGAAGCTGAACCAAACCCGTGTTCCCCGCTGATTAATCCTTCGGGGCCAATTAAGGGCCGCGCTGCCCGGGCCTCCCGGGAAGCTGTGCTGGGTCAGCAGGACCCAGGCCCTCACCGGGCGGGGATGGGAAGGGGCAGTCAAGGACGGCGCCCCTCGGGGGCGGGGGAAGCCCAGCACCGGTCCCACCCCGCCCGGGGTATTTAAGACCGTCCCCCAGGGGGGTTACCTCGGGTGCAGTGGAATGGCGGAGGAGGCGATGGAAAGCTACCTGTACGCTGCCTACCACCCCTACTCCTACCGCTACCCGCCGCCCAAGGGCAAGGGCGGCGCGGCGGGCGGCTGGAGGCCGCGGGGCAGCAGCTACTTCTCGGGCTATGGGGAGGCGGCAGCGGCCGCCGAGTACTTCGATAACTACCAGCGGGCGCAGCTGAAGGCCATCCTCTCCCAGGTCAACCCCAACCTGACGCCGCGGCTCCGCAAGGCCAACACCAAGGAGGTGGGCGTCCAGGTAAACCCGCGGCAGGATGCCTCGGTGCAGTGCTCGCTCGGGCCCCGCACGCTGCTGCGCCGCCGTCCCGACCCCCCCGGCGGGTCGCGGCACCTCCCGGCGGAGCGGGAATTGCCGAGGGAGCAGGAGCAGGGCAGCCCCGCCACCACCAGCACCCGCGCCGTCCGCTTCCCCCGCACCATGGCCGTCTACTCGCCCATGGCGTCCCGCAGACTCACCGCCTTCTTGGAGGAGCCGGAGCGGCGGTCGCAGGAGAAGGTGGAGGCAGCCGTCGAGGAGGAGGCGGCCGCGTTGCGGAAACAACGAGAGGAGGAGGCGGCCGCCGTGCGGGACAGTTGGGAGAACCCCGCCGAGGGCGACGCCGAGCCCTTGGCACAGCGTCCGGCTGCGACCCCAGAGCTGCCGGCTGCAGAGCCGGAGGGCAGCCAGGTGGAGAAAAAGGTGGCGGAGCGGGAAGAGGCGGCGGCCGCTCCCCAGAAGCGAGAGCCGGCGGCGGGAAAGACCCGGCTGCGCTTCCAGGTGAGAGGCGGGCGAGGGGGAGCGGAGTGGGGCCCGGCCGGGATGCGCCTGCCCTGTCGAGTAACGGCTGTCCCCGGCAGTTCCTGGAGCAGAAATACGGCTACTACCACTGCAAGGACTGCAACATCCGCTGGGAGAGCGCCTACGTCTGGTGCGTCCAGGGCACCAACAAGGTAGGGCGCGGCAGGCCGGGATCACCCCTTCGCCCGCCGGGACACCCCCCCCCCCGCCGCCAAGCTGACCCCGGCCTCTCCCCCAGGTCTATTTCCGGCAGTTTTGCCGTACCTGCCAGAAGTCCTACAACCCCTACCATGTGGAGGACATCACCTGCCAGGTAAGGGACCCCCAACCCGCCGGGCCGGGCCGCCCCTCCCGTCGCCCGGCCGCCGACCGCCGCCTCCTCCCGCAGAGCTGCAAGCAGACGCGGTGCACCTGCCCGGTGAAGATGCGCCACGTGGACCCCAAGCGGCCGCACCGCCAGGACCTCTGCGGGAGGTGCAAGGGGAAGCGCCTGTCCTGCGATAGCACGTTCAGCTTCAAATACATCATCTGAACGGATGGTTTTGTTGAGGGCTCTTATAGGGAACTGCAAGTAGAGCAGGTTGGCTTTTGGTTTTGGTGGTGGTATTGTTGAAGGCACTTAGTGGGGTGTAGGTGGGGAAAGCATGCAAATAAAGATACTGCAAAGCACGGTGAGATGATCAGGTGGGTTTGTGCCCAGCTCAGAGTGCCTATTGCTGCAATTTGCACAGGGGAAGAGCCTACAAATAATGATTTTGTAAATCGGCAGTGGTCTCTGGCAGCAACTGACTTGAGACCTTCTAGAATCTGAGGTGGGAAAGGATGTTTGTTACTGCTCTTCCCCTTGAACTAATCAAATGCTCAAAGCTAACATCAAAGTTAGGTAGTAGAGCATCATTCATAAGCAAAACACCTAATAGTATTTACTTGTTGTGCATGCTTGTATTCCCTGTTGTGGAAAGTCTCTGCACCTGTTCTTTATCACTAGCAAATGATTGAGAAATTAAGTGTAAAGGCTACATTGCTTCTGCAGCTGGTGTGCATTTAGCTAAGCTGGTGTTCCTTTCTGTAGACTAAAGCCAAAGAAAGGTTGTTGTTAATGCACCATTAAGGGGCAGTTCTCACAAACTGCTGGGGAAGGGAGTCGCTCCTATTATGGTCTCTTGGTGAATGAGTTGCCTGTCTCTACCTCCGCAAAATTATCAAGAGTCTCTACCTCCGCAAAATTATCAAGAGGAGTGATGCTTCAAAAGCTTGAAGTATGGTGGCTGCATCAGCCTGGCTTCCTCCTGTTCCTGCAGTGATGCACAGGAGCTGTGCACTTAGTGGTTTACACTTGAAGAGTTTGATCTAGTTATGGTTTAGATGTCTCTGGGAGCTCCCCAGTCACACCCTTCTGGGTTTGGGTTTGCAACTAGGAGTTGTGCTTCTGGGGTTGGGTAGTAGTGGCAGCATCAGCAGGGCTACTCCCAGATGGTGTTCTCTCAGGCCTGTTGGTACTGCCAGTGGTAATGATCTCTAGGGACACCATACTTCTGAAAGGTGTTACAAGTTGGCTCTGGGACTATGGCATCACCATCTGAGCAGATTCACAGCCTAGTAAAACCTACACCCCCCAGTCTACCTTACAGCAGAGGAGTTGGATAAACTTAAGAGGCAAACCTTGTTTTGTTTTTTTTTTGGGGGGGCGGTGTGTGTTTTCTGTTTTTTTTTTTTTTGAGGATGCTAATAAAGCTGTTAATTTCAAAATTGAGCATAATAATGCACAAAGCCTTCTGCAGAGCTCTTGAGGTAGCTTCTATTTGGAAGGACTGATGTATCTTGGCTGTAACAAACTTACAACACCTGTACCCAGCCTACTTAAGACGGCTCTTATTAAAGACTGAAAGGGAACCAGTCTGAGTCCTGTGCCAGGTGGTTGTGCATCTCTAAATGGAAGCTAGTGTGTATGGCAAGGTAGGCCAACATTGTCCTTGTAGTAACAGATGCCCATTTAGAGGTGCAGTGAGTGTTAATTCTGTAGGCTTAACTCATCTTCTTTTAGATTCCTGCTGTAGTTTAACATTCCCCTTGAATGTGCTGCAGTAACTAAGGCTTAATGCCTAGGCACCAATTTATTGCAAGTGATGTTATTTATTCCTGCTCCATTCGTTATCACAGCAGCATGAGGTGATCCAGGAACAAGGAAACCTGTCACACCCCTGAATGGGGTACTGGTTTATTTCATGCTTCCACCTAAAACAGTTTCCCTGTATCACAGTAAAAGGGAATACTCCTTGTTTCAGCAGCTCACTCAGACTTCCACAGTTCCATCCTTACCCTGTTCAGCTTGCAAAGTACAGCTGCAGCTGGGCAGTTTCTGCTGCAGGCTTATGTACGTTGAACTCGCCTGTAATTACAGTAATGAGCAGTGACAAGTCTCCAGCTTGAGATGCACAGCTGAGGCCCCCTCTGTAGTGATCTATGTTTTCCCATTTGCCTTAGCCATTCTAACAAACAGCTGTAGTCTGTTCCTGAGGGATGCAGTGTGGGGGACCAGCTGTAATGTGTCTTGTGCACCCTGGTAATGAGTTTGAGAACTTGAAATCTGTATGTTGTGGTTTAAACCATGTCAGTGTGAAGTCATATGGCAATCCATAGCAAGATGAGTGGTCAAGTGCTTCCTAGTTATACATATGTCCTTGCAAGCACTGCTTTGAGGATTACTTGCTGTGAATATGATGACTCTTATGCAGTTAGTATCAGTAATAGCCCAAGTGAAACTTAGTACAACTTAAAGAGTTGTCATCCCTGCTAACTACAGTAAAAGCAGCAGTTGCATCTATTTGATAAGAAGCAGAATAGGCCTGGCTTATCCAGGCTGAGTGGCATGCTTCAACTCCAACTAGTCTAAGCAAGCAGTTGATGAAGTTCTGAGCAGCAGGTAGCAAGGTTTTAAGGCTCAGAGGAGTTGAGTGCAGTGCACAGCAATATTAAACAAGATTTCCTCATCTTGGAATGTTCTATAGTAGATGTAGCTCTACATCCCATTCATCTTAAATATATATTCAGAGCTTTTACTGCTTGATGGCCAAAGTACAGTTCTGTATCCTTTTTCACCTTACTGCTCTGTCACATCCTTGACAGTGTACACTGTGTATCATGGGCACTGCTTCCTAGACTCAGCAGAAACAAGGAAAGCTACACATCACATATGGGATTATGCAAAACACACAGGAACAGCTCTCATGCTGCCAGTTCTTCAGAGGTATCTTGAACTTGCCCTGTACAGCTTTTTCATGAAGAGATTCTTTTGCATGTGTTAGCTCAGTCAGTGCTGTATTTGCTCTGCTTTTACAGATGTCTGATGTTTTGCTTGTTTCTAGACAAACTTTATCATCTTAACCATTGCTTCAGATTTGGCACAGCTGGCACCAGGTAATGTAGGCTGACAGTTACAAAGTAGTTGGGAATGAGTGAGTGATTCTGGAAAAGCTTCACAGAGTTAAAGCAGTATGAGAGACAGTCGGGTAGCATGATTCTGCTGCGCAGGGCAGGTTCCACTAGCCACTGTCAGTGGAGGAAGATGCATAACATAAGGAATTATGTACACAAATTCAAGTTTGAGTTGCATGAGAAATCCTGTAACAGCTTCAGAAGATGCCTAGAAAAATGCTGTTGGCATTGACAGGGCATAAAAGGAAACCCTATGATTTTAGGGCACCCCAGCCTCTATTGTCAGTGTTTAGTCTGTTCAGCTAAAGTATTTAAACTCTAGCTTGTAAAAATACACAAAATAACAGATACAATGCCTTTTTATTTTTACAAAAAAAGCTGGTAAAAGATGATGTAAATAAAAGTGTAATGCACCCCCTAAATAAAACTACTTATCCCCTGTAAATACTTATTAAATAATTAAGAACACCATCTACAGTACCACAAAACCATCAAAATAATTCAATTTTATCAGGGACAGGGGAAAAAAAATACAGTGATTATGGATGTGCCTTGACCAGTTACAGAGCTTGTTAGGATAACATAACTATTGTCAGCAGTCCAACAGCGTGCACAGTGCCTTCAGTTAATGCATTTCAGCATAATTACACTTCTAGTGGGGTCCAATTCCCCATAAAAGGCAGAGCTAAGAATTTCAGTTCTACATTCTAAACTCTGGAATTAGAGCCCATTAAAAAAAATCACAGTGGGTAAGAGATGTATATAAAAATACTGGATGTTCCTCTCAAATCACAGGAATCGTGGGACTACATTCTTTTCTGGGTTTTCTTCCTTTTTTTTTTCTTTTTTCTTTTTTTCTACAAAAATGCTATTGGTTTCAACAGAATCCAGTTTGTTTTATGCTACAGACGTTGACACTGAACTATGAGTATATTGCCTGTTTGCATGTTTTGGTAGTCAGTTTTTTTCTATATAGTCCCAATTTCTTAGGCTTAAGTTGAGTCATGAAGCTGCATATACGTGCATTCAAACTCTTTGAACCCTGCAGGCTATGCAGACTGCAAGTAATGTATGTGACTACCGACAGGGAGAACCCCCCTTCCCCTCATAGCTTTATACACGTACTGTCTTAACAGTGCATTGCACAAATTTACAAGAAAAATACTGGTTTTGCACTATACAGTTTCTAGAATATATACAGAATAAAATAAGTTAACTTCTAATGAGAATTGCTGATGGGCAGCATATATCTTTAATATACATTTTAAAGTCTCTGCAGGCAGCTACTTTTTGGTTAGTTGTTATCAATATTTGTAACATAAGCACTGATCAGAGAACTGAGCAGCATTCCAATAAAGTTAACAGATATATTATTTCTTTTAGAAACACCGGGAAATCCCAGTTTAAAATATTATTAAATGTCCTAACATTTACACGCTATGAGGATTAGATCTAATAAAATAAAATTTCTTCAAAAATAATCTTGCAGCTCTTTTAAGCATGCTCTGAGACCTTATTTAACAATCATCCATACCTTCAAAAAACAACTGTCACATAGCCATACATTCTAACTCACACACATCATTTCCTTGTTGCAGACAACAAAAGCAAATAAAACATTGAGAAGTCAACGGTTTTTGCAGTCTACTCATGTTTGACCACACATTCTTCATGACCTTGCAAAGTGTCTCATTAGATATTAGTTGATTACATTTACTGCTGCTGGAAAGCCAGGAAGCCTTGCAGGTCTTCAGCCAAAATAACCCAGCCTTGATTTTAGCCTCATCCCACCTGCAATATTGATTCAACCTATAGAGGCTGTTACTGCAAACACCATTTATAGTTCTGTTACAACAGAAAATAATGCATATGTATGCATTACATTTAAGCCCTTTTCCTTTCATGTAGTTTTTATACATAAATTTAATAAAAAAATACTACTGCCACACAGGTACTGTGTAGAAAGAGCAGTCAAGTAAGATGTTCACTTCAATTCTCAGGTTTTCACTTGTGATGAAATGATTTCTTGCTGTGATGAAACTGTGTTGGTTGGCTGGAGCGTTTCTTTTTTTCTTTTTTTTTTTTCATGAAAGGTGCTCAATAATAGTCTGAAGCATCTTCATCATTATCTTTCTAAATGATAGCTGTTC